TTAATCTTACTTAAATTTCATCAAGGAAAATACGAATCTAGCTGAATCCTCCTACAGTGATATAGAAAAATTAGTCAACATTGTAGAAGGAACAACTTTAATCGATTGGAATGCTTCGAAGAATTCTTATATAAAGGAGTTAGATAAGACCAAGAGCTGGTGGGACCAACATATAAAGGCTTTTATTGAGAAGTCTAACTAAGGAATCCAATAGATCCAATCATTAATCAAGTAAGTATTTATTTGTTATTGTAGAATTTAAGCCAATCAAGAAGAAGAATCAGAAGAAGTTTATTAAATGAAGGAAGATCTTTATGAGATGCTAACCTACATTCAGGATATAAATGAATCTCTGTATTAGAAGATTCTTGATATACTTAGATAATAGAAAGTTTCAGACATTATTGGATTCCTGTCAAAGACAAACAATCATCAATTTTATGAATCTTTAAACTACAAGTAAGAGAATATAATGGTGATCAAGAAGTAAGTAAAGAAAATAACTAATGTCTTGAAAAATCTTTAGGATCATTAATATAATAAAAATGATTATTCCCAAGAAACATATGAAAAAGAAAGAGCCTATCTAATAGGAAGGATGAAGGAAAGCAAAGGGATTACAGATTTCATCAAATTTTTAGTACGACTAACAAGCATAGATGTAAAATTTATTCAATGTGGATCAAATGGTCTTAGTTTATTAGTGGCCATGAAGGTTGATCTTAGATACCAATCATTTGAAAATATCAGGATCAAGAATACTTCTTTAATAGGAGGTAATTTTGTAAGATGCAACTTGAGTGAATCAGAGTTTGAAAATGTAGAAATCAGTGGATTGAATTTGAATGGTGCTTAATTATTCAATTGTAAATGGAAGAACTTGAAAATCCATGAATTGAACAAATTAGATGGTCACAGCGGAAGTGTGTTGTCAGTCTAAATTTCTCCAGATGGCAATTTATTAGCATCTGCATCTGGTAGTGGTGATAAGTCTATCCGTCTTTGGGATGTCAAAACAGGTTAACAAAAAACAAAATTGATTGGTCATACTGACGTGGTCTGGTCAGTCTGTTTCTCTCCTGATGGAAATACATTAGCTTCTGGTAGTGATGATAACTCTATCAGTCTATGGGATGTCAAAACAGGATAATAAAAAGCCAAATTAGATGGTCATACT